TAAACATTCTTTATTTGCATAGTGAGAATGTTGGAATCACGACTTGTTTTCTAAAATTCTCTTCTTTTATTTTTCTAACACAAACCAAATATATTTCAACACAGAAAGAATGCTTTTCTAAAAAAATGTACATCTATGAATCTTCTTAAATACCTTATAAACACTTAATTATTAAATATTTTGTCGACAACATATGAAATATACATTATGGTCATCAATTTATAGATTTTATTCATATTTTTATATGTTAAGTTTTTATTATTTCAATAATATTTCAGTGTCTGGCATATCATGAATTTGTTTTATAGCAAAATAAATCATAGTTTAATAATTATTCATGATTCCTCATTACTATACACTCATATAAATACTCAAAGATTTATGGAAAGTACAAATAAGTAGCAACACGGTCCTGATTGAATATTGAAGACAAGAGTTGTAAGGACATAACGAAGGAGAGAATGTGTTTAGTAGAATATATAAAAAAGTTTGAATGCTCTGTCAGTCTGCACTTAATTAAGTACCCTTCTAATTTAAATACCTGTTTTCAAATGACATGTAATTTACTTTTTATTGAAAATGCAATGATTGTATATGGGCTGCGTTTGAGTCATGATTGAATGTAACAATTTATTAACTAACGTAAAATAAATTGAAAATATTCAAGAAACATTATCTACTTTTCAAAGAAAATCACGCACCGCCGATATTTTCATTTCAAAAATACTTCGTTTATATGACGATTTTTTTTTTAAATAATAAATAAAAGCCATGGACATAATTTACCAATTTTCAATATTTGTGCGAAATCAAAGCATAGAACTTTTTAAAATTACAGGAAGTGACACTAAAATATATGGTAGAAACATTCTTTGCAAAATTTTTGACTTTAAACTTCGAGTCACGGAAAACCCTTCTGGGAAACATTATTTTTATCTAAAAACTGAAGCTATGTACAGTAAATTCTCTCAGCTTATACACAAAAAGGGACAATTTGGGAAGAGGAGATACGATTATTCGAGCCTTGCGGCTCGTTTTTATAGCTACCATTTGTCAACAACTATAAAATCGTGTCGGAAGCTGGACCTCCCCTTCCCAAATTGTTCACTTTTGTGTCAATTAGGAAGAATTTACTGTACTTTCAAAATTTTAACCAAATCTAGCGTGACCAATTTTCGAAAGTTATAGCATATTTTCAATTATTTTAAATGTTTGCTTGTAAATTAATAAGACAATAGGATGTATACATGTATAAGGAAAGGTTGAAAAAAGAAAATTTAGTATGAAAATTTAGTTGCAAATAACATTTACTAGTAACTTTTCCAAATATTATAGGTTATATTTATTATATTTCCAAGTCAATTTCTTTTTCTCTTTTTGTATAATATGGTGCAGTACGAAATCTCAGCTATTAGTATACAAATTTGATCGCAATGTCAAATAATGCATCATGCATGAGCTAAAGCTACGGTATAGTATATACGACACCAATCATCGTTGCATGCGTCAAGAAATATTTGCATGTATTTATCATTGTATATACAATAAGAAAATTACATTGCATACATATACAATATGTAATACATTATATATGCATACATATTTACTACAACTGCAGACACATACAGACGCATATTGCCAATGAGCGACTAGAAATCCAACATAACCACAATCTACATTTACATCACAGCTGAGGTTACATATACAAGGTATTCCAAAAATGTCTCGTAATCCGGAAATGGAGAGTTCCTGGGGTCATTTGAAATAACTTTTTCCTTAGCGAAAATTCAATTCGCGACTTTGTTTACGAGTTATTAACGAAAAACACTGACCAATAAGATGTGAGCTCGGCTAACGCGAGACGACCCTGCCAATGAGCGCACAAAGCCGGTTGGGTCGTCTTGTGCCAGCTGATTTCGTTTCTCATTGGTCACTGTTTTTCGTTAATAACGCGTAAAAAAGCCGCGGATTAAATTTTCGCTAAGGAAAAAGTTATTTCATATGAACTCAGGGAACCCCCATTTCCGAATTGCGAGACATTTTTGGGACACCCTGTATATGTATAGCAGTAGACTTAGCATTTAATGTATCTGTCACCTAAAAATTGAACATTAGAAGCTCCATTACCATCTTCGTATCGCGCTCATCATTCGTTTTTTACAGATATTTCAGAAATTCAAGCTTATTAGGGAGAATTGAGTATTCTGTATACACTCATTTGTATTGTGGCACATTTTATGATTTTATAGGCCACAAATTTTTACATTGCAGCGCGTATATTCAAACGATGAAAATGTGTGTACCTCCGATACCACATCTGTGATATAAATACAATAATAATCGTTTGTGGTTGGCGACGAACCAGATATGTAATATATAGTGAGAAAGATAGCCATCTATTGGTGGATATAGGTGGAAACCGCCACAACCTATTAAACATTAGAGATAGGACCTTTCGAAACGCAAAAAGTTTCGATTTCTCGAAACATTGTGCTAGTTTTGTGATTTGAAACTCTCGAAACACAGGTAAATAATAATTTGTATAAACAATTTACGAAAATATTGTGACGATATGAATTTATTTTTATTTAACTAATAATAATCCAATTGAGTTTGCGTTCAATACTTTAGACACATCTTGATTGGTAAGATTTTACCAACCCATTACAATCGTTTATATCGAGACAATATTAAATTATAACTACATATATTTAATTTTTATCTAATTATATTCAATAAATGATTGAATTTTCTGAAGAGTTTGTCAATATTTTAGTTCCTGACAAAATAAATATGTACACTTTAGAAAAAAGAAAGGAAAAACATTCATTCCAAGAAAGGAAAACAAGCATTCCAGGTTTCGACACATCACAATATTTCGGATTCGAGTTTCGCGAATCTAAAAACAGAAATAAGTACTCATGATGATGCATACTCATTTCTGCTAAAAATCAGAACCATAACTATCTCTGTTAAAAATTTAAGAAATTTAAAAAATTGCCAAATTGCTAACCAAAACCACAGACAAGATATAAAAATAAATTTAACATGCAATCACGGACCTGAAATTATATTTCTATTTATTTACATTATTGATTACAATTATAGAATGTATATATAGCTATATTTAAAAAAAAATTTTTTATACAAAGTTATATTACTTTGTATATAACATCTTCTTTTATATGTGTTGTTACTATCTCCATTTTAACCGGGCAATGCAGCCAGTAACTTAAAAGCTCTTCACAATAACCCATTAAAAAATACATTCTACCAGGTAATACTTTTCGTATAACAATACAAGCGATTCTGACTATATTATGTTGCCGTTTAATAATTATTTCACTTGCAATCATATCATGCCATGTCCCATTTATAAAATTCCTAATAAAGATATCTTCTATAACAGTTTCTGATGGTCTGTTACCACCTTCTAAATTTGCTGAAAGAAAATGAAAAAATTAACATTATCTTGTGAAATGGTTCAACAATATAAGAATATTAGTTCAAAAAAAACTTGTTCTGTACAAGTGTTCCAAGAATTCCAAGACTTTCTTGCTCCAATATAATGAGGAGGATTTGCCATTTCATATGTTAATGCTTGTGGTTGTTTTAGTTTGGGTCTGTAACGACCAGCTTGAGTTTTATTATGCACTGTACTAACATAAATACTCCTTTTTAGAAGATTATTTTGATTGACTAATAATATCTGAAAATAAATTGGATATGTTTTTACTACTAACAATAATCACAGGTTATGTTACAAATAAAATAAACTTTGTAATATACATGAACGCACAGAACGCATATACGACGTTACACTCATTGCTTTTAGAAGTTTATTAGAAAGAAAGACTATTTAATTTAATATTAAAATATCAGATATTTAAAAGCCACTAAAATTAAATTTAACAACCACTGATACAACTACAGAATTTGACACCAACAGTTTGTATTTTATGTAATTCGGATTGGCTGACGATCTCGTGAGATAAAGAAGGATACAATGCATTGGTAATATGAAGCAAGTGAGAGTGAGAGAGCATAACATGGAACATGTTGTTACTAGCGCGTGCTGTGGTGTGCTAAAGAACTATGCAATTATATGTAATGTATACTTTCCTTAGAAGTCTCAAGTTTATAAATTTAGTTACAGATTTGAGAGTTACCGAAAAGTCATTAATTTTGGTACTTTAAAAAAAAAGTAAACAAAAATGTTGGTGTTATTTGAAACCCCAGCTGGATATGCTATTTTTAAGGTATGTATTATTTTAATGTATCTAATGATATATTATAACCTTCATGTTGCAACACGTGTTCAGATTTCGAATATTTTTTAATTCTGTTTAATGATTGGTATACGTAATGAAAAAAAAATGATCTTGAATGACATCTTAAATGACATCTTAACGTCACATATATATTTTTCTTCTAGTTGCTTGATGAAAGTAAGTTAGCACAAGTAGATAACCTATTTCAAGACTTCGAAACGCCTGAAGCCGCTAGTAAGATGTAAGTAATAAGTAATGTTTTGTTAACACGAAAATTTCAAAAAGTAAATTGTATTTCCATAGCAATGAATTTCTGTGTGCACATAGTCAATGATTAATTTTGTTTTTATTATTTCAGACTAAAATTAAAACATTTTGAAAAATTTGCTGATACCACTGAAGCTTTAGCAGCTACGACAGCTGCAGTAGAAGGCAAACTTTGCAAATCATTGAAAAAAATCCTAAAAAAACATTGTTCAGAGCTTCAAGAACAATTAGCTGTTGCTGATGCTAAACTAGGAAATGCTATAAAAGACAAATTGAGCTTATCTTGTGTTAGCAATACTGCTATACAAGAATTAATGAGATGCATTCGCAGTCAGGTAGATGGTTTATTTGCTGGTCTTCCAAAGAAAGAAATGACAGCTATGGCATTAGGTTTGGCTCATAGCTTATCTAGATATAAGCTTAAATTTTCACCTGATAAAATTGACACTATGATAATTCAAGCTGTCTGTCTATTAGATGATTTAGACAAAGAATTAAATAATTACGTCATGCGCTGTCGTGAATGGTATGGCTGGCACTTCCCAGAACTAGGAAAGATAATTACAGACAATATAGTATTTGTGAAAACAGTAAAAATTATTGGAACCAGAGAAAATACTAGTAACTCTGATTTATCCGATATATTACCAGAAGATGTAGAAGAAAAAGTTAAAGAAGCTGCTGAAATATCTATGGGAACTGAAATCTCTGAAGACGATATTCTGAATATTCAACATTTATGTGATCAAGTTATTGAAATTTCTCAATACAGAACGCAGTTGTATGATTACCTTAAAGCAAGAATGATGGCAATGGCACCAAATTTAACTGTCCTTGTTGGTGACTTAGTTGGAGCTCGGTTAATTTCACATGCTGGTTCATTAATAAACCTTGCTAAGCATCCAGCTTCTACAGTACAAATTCTTGGTGCGGAGAAAGCTCTTTTTCGAGCATTAAAAACGAAAAAAGATACACCAAAATATGGTTTAATTTATCATGCACAACTAGTAGGACAAACTTCAACTAAAAACAAAGGAAAAATGTCAAGAATGTTGGCAGCTAAAGCTGCATTAGCAACTAGAGTAGATGCCTTAGGAGAGGATACTAATTTTGATCTTGGAGCTCAACATAAAGCTAAATTAGAAGTACGTATGAAAATATTAGAAGAAGGCAATCTTCGTAGAATCAGTGGAACAGGCAAAGCAAAAGCAAAATTTGAAAAATACCAGACAAAGAGTGAATATCTTCAATATCCTGCATCTGCTGACACAACTCTGCCAAGTAACAAGAGGCGGCATTCTGAAATTGAAGATAAAAGACCATTAATTGAAGAAGTCGTAAAACGAGAAGAAGAAATTCCTAAGAAAAAAAAGAAAAAACAGAACATTGAAACTGCAGAGGAATCAATAGTTAAAGAAGAACTAACTGAAATGAACATAGAAGATGAGATTACTTCCGTAACAAAGAAGAAAAAGAAGAAAACTAAAACAGACATAACTGAAGAAGGTGGTTCTGCATCTGTTACAGAAGACCAACAGTTAGAAACTTCTCAAACGTTTGATGAAGCATCCGAAATAACAAAGGGTTCGTTTCATAATTTATAGTCTATCTTACTTTCAAATTTATTAAATGAAATTTCATTTTTTGAAACAAATTACTTATTTTTTGTTAC